GTACACATACATTATGCACATTCATTATTTTGGTCGAAAAGCCAGTTTAACCCTCCGAAATTCCAACCCTTCTCAAACAATGCCATGATGTGTTTCAGTATTAGGAGAAACATGGATGGAGATGAATATTATTAAAAGGCCAAATTTAATCTAAACCTAGAGGAATTTTGAATCTTACATCCCCATCATCTCAATGGAATTAGGAAAGAAAGCGCTATTGGACAATTCCTCTTTATACACACTAATGAATGTGACAATTTTAAGAGACTAGAATACTAACAAAAGCACACAAGGGGAAAAAATAAGATCAGAAATGCATCCACCTGTAATCCCAGAATTCAAGGGGCTAAAGCTGGAAGATATTCAGTTCTAGGCTAACCTAGACTACATATAAGAGCCTTTCCTAGAACACAAAAACAGACAAAACCCATAGAATATACACATATGCATATATGCATAGATGAATTCTAGGTATTTGCTTAGTATGCAGCATGAAAATATTAGTATCTAGCTTGAACCTGAAAATAAAGAAAAGAAAAAAAAGGAGCAAATAATTTCTTTTTGTATATGATTGCTTTAAATGATACATGATGAAAATTATTTTAGCAACTGCGTTCTTGTATTATATATTAGAAAAGCAACACTATATCAAGCTGAAGAATAGCCACCCAAAAAAGATTGGCCCACATCTTAGTGCCCAGAATCAATGAATAGCACAAATTTGGGAAAAGGATCATTGCAGATAAAATTATGGATTTTTTTAAGACAAGGTCTCTTTGTAGCCCTGGGTATCCTGGAACTCACTCTGTAGACCAGGCTGGCCTTGATGTCACAGAGATCGACCTGCCTCTACTTCTTGAGTGCTGGGATTAAAGGCATGCATCACCACTAGGCAGAATTATGAATCTTAAATCAATCATTCTGGATTACCTAGGGGGTGGGATTTAATGGTCAGTATCTTTATAGGGACCACAAAATAAGATGATATGAATACACAATCAGATAGCAGAGTGATAGGGCCACATACCAAGGAATGCCTGCACCTACCAGATGTGTGAAAAGACAAGGAACCTATTCTCTGACATGTACATTTTGATAGTCCAGGACACTGGAACAACTTTCTTTGAGAAGTCTGCTTCTAGGATTCTTCAAGAATAGATTTCTGTTATCTTATTAGCCACACCAGGCAGCTCACAACCACCTGAAACTACTTCAGCTCCAAGGGGACACAATGCTTCTGGACTCCAAGGACACCTGCACTCACATGCACATAACCACACAAAGACACACATTTACATTCAATTAAAAAACTAAGTCTTAAAAAAAAGGGAGCTGGGCGGTGGTGGTGCACGCCTATAATCCCAGCACTTGGGAGGCAGAGGCAGGTGGATTTCTGAGTTCGAGGCTAGCCTGGTCTACAGAGTGAGTTCCAGGACAGCCAGGACTACACAGAGAAACCCTGTCTCGAAAAACAAAAACAAAAACAAAAAAAAGGGAAAAAAGCAAGAGAAATATTAGTTATGAATGACATAATAACAACTGTAGATAGTAAATGTGACGTTTTAGGAGATGAAAATCATTGATAATAAGATATGAGATATTTCCATGCTGCTGCTGACAATACAGAACAAGAAATGAGTGGAACTACATGAATGACTGAGAGATATAAATTAGTATTCCAGTAGTATGAGTGTACTAGGTACTTATGGGCATTAGACTGTCAAGGAAAATTTTACAGAAAACATAGAATTGAAATCTGTGCTCCCAAATGTGGTGAGGCTTGGACAGACTTACTTAGCTACAGTCCTGGTGGACAAAAAGAAATTTAAGAAAATATGCATTGAAAAATCTCTCGGGGGCTGGAGAGATAGCTCAGCAGTTCAGAGCACTGACTGTTCTTCCAGAGGTCCTGAGTTCAATTCCCAGCAACTAACTACATGGTGGCTCACAACCATCTGTAATGGGATCTGATGCCCTCTTCTGGTGTGTCTGAGGACAAGACAGTGTACTAACATACATAAATAAAATCTTTAAAAAAGAAAATCTCTCTGAAATGTTTGTGTGTGTATGTATATGTGTATATATATCATACACATACATACATATGTTAGATATCATTATGGAAATATTGTTCATTTGGGGATGTGGCAGTTCTTATGGTGTTTTAGAGGAGAGTATGATTATTTGCAGGTGATACCCAGCTATGGAGGGCAAAGTTTCTTGATGCAGCTTACTTTCAAAATAAAACTCTGTGTGTGTGTGTGTGTGTGTGTGTGTGTGAGAGAGAGAGAGAGAGAGAGAGAGAGAGAGAGAGAGAGAGAGAGAGGAGGAGGAACCATGTAAAACATTAACAGTCAAAGGACATACATTAGAAGGGACATGTATGCCGGGCGGTGGTGGAGCACGCCTTTAATCCCAGCACTTGGGAGGCAGAGGCAGGCGGATTTCTGAGTTCGAGGCTAGCCTGGTCTACAGAGTGAGTTCCAGGACAGCCAGGGTACACAGAGAAACCCTGTCTCGAAAAACCAAAAAAAAAAAAAAAAAAAAAAGGAAGGGACATGTATGACACAATAAGACACAAGTTTCAAACAAGAGATTCTACTTCAAGAAAACAGCCAAAAACTAGAAATAAAAGAGTATGACAGCCAAATGTTCCCTTGTATTAGGTATGACTACAGAAATCCAGAAAACAGAGAGCAGCATGTGTGCTCTGAGTTGACAAGCTTTCTTTTAGTATTATTTTGTATTACTATGACCAAGCTCCAGTGATAACTTGCAACAACTAGCAAGTTTTTGATGTACTAATAGTTTCTAAATGGCAGCAGCTACAAAGGTAAACAAGATATTAAATTCAGTTTAACATCAATAAAACATAACAAGGAGTCTCATCCAAATGCCTATATAACTTAGATGCAATTATATGTCACACACCAATCATTTACTGATTAAAAATAAAAATCATTAGCTGGGCATTATGATAAACACCTGTAATTCCAAAACTTGACAGGGAAAAGTAAGATTACCCTAAATTCAAGCCAGGTTGATCTACATACTGAGTGCCAGGCCAACAAGAGTCATATACAAAGGATTGATCAAGAAAACAAAAAGGTACATATGTGCGCATGTGTGCACGCGCGCACACACACACACAGCACGTATGCGTATGACTCCTAAATTAAGGAACAGAAACTCATCACTATGGGCATGGTACTAAGACCAAAAGAATCCGATGAGTACTATATAAACAAATTTGGATAGTCAATATACATGCAACTTTGACAGATTTTTCAAGGCAATTCTGACTGTATTTGGGGCTCACTTAGGTAATGCCTTATAACTCAACCCTGAACAAACAGGCATCATACCATGACTATAATCCCAGAATTCAAGAGCCCAGCAGGAGGTTCACTATGAGTTTGAGGGTGCCCCAAGTTATACAGCAAGTTCCAGCTCAGCCTGGTCTATGGAATAGTAAGAGCCCATCTCAAAAACAAACACTTCACATCATTTAAAGCCAGTTTTCTTTTCTGTAAAATGTGAACATTGAGACTGGTGATAAGTTGATGTTATATGACAATTTAGCAGGGTTATAGTGTCAGATGGTTGGTTAAACATTTTTCTAAATGTGTTTGTTTGTTTGTTTTGAGACAGAGTCTCATTATGGAACTTGATATGTAGACTAGGCTGGCCTTGAACTCATAAAGATCTGATTGCCTCAACCTCCTGAGTGTTGGGATTAAGGCATGGGATACCATAACCAGCTTCTTTTTACCCCTTAATAAAGCAAGTATTTCGCATCACTGTTGGAATAAGCCACTCCCATAAAGCGAAGAGGCTTCAATCAATAATTAAAGACCATCATAAAATAAAGGTTAAGCCTCACAGATATACCTAGGAAGATGAAATTCCAACTGAGAACTTTTCTCCATCAGATTGGCCTGTGAGCAGTTAATAGGGGCATTTCTTAATGATTGATTTGGGAGGGGCCATCACTGGGCAGGTGAGCCCTGGGTTATAAGCAAAGCAAGGGAAGGGAAGCAAGTAGTGTTTTCTCAGTGGCCTCCCTGCCTTCAAATTCCTCCCTTGGCCTTCTTTGATTGTGAACTACAAACAAATATACCCTTTCCTCCAAACGTTGCTTTTTGGGTTATGCTGTTTATCACAGCATCAGAGAAGCAAAGTAGGCCACCAAAACTAGTTTTCACATTGACAGACAGAATTGATTTGTTCCTTCTGTTTTGTTCGTCTGTTTTGTCTTGTTTTGGAGAGAATCTCCTTATGTGGCCCAGGATGAGCTAGAAATCCCCATTTTCCTAGTTCAGTCTGCTTAGTATAGGGATTATAGACTTGTGTCACCATGTTTGGTACAAGAATTCTGCCATCAGTGTTTAGAGACCTGAAATGAAACCTCTAACTCTATAGTGTGCTGATCAAGTCCATTGGGTTTTGGACTTACCATACCTCTATAATGGCAGGAGTCAGGAGCCAATACACACACACACACACACACACACACACACACACACACACACACATATATATTTTATATAATATACATTTTATGTAATATATATGCCTCTATCCTTTCTACACACACACAACCACACACACTGGTCACCAAAAGTAGTGTATGAGCCAGGGTTCTCCAGGGAAACAGTTAACAGGGAAGTAGAGTCAACAGGATGTTTCCTTAGAGAACTCTGATACACTACACCAAGGCTACCGAAGACATTAAATAAAACAAAGCACACAATTTTCACCATAACTAAAACATGGCACAGTGCTAATAACTGGTTGTGGCTCTTCACCAAAGACAGGAACAATATGAAGCTGTTTCTTCAAGGCTAAGCAGACTCCTTAGTCGGAACTCACACCCAGACATTAAAATTATTTTGGAAACGTCTATCTTCCTTTATCCCGTCTCATTTCCCATACTCGTCACTTAAAAATGGAGCTTTAATTCTCCAATGTTTAAGAGATATTCAACACACAAAGCTCACCTGTTTGAATACTTGCATCGAACCACTTTCTGATTTAATTCGGACATCCATGTTGTTTATGAATTTATCCATATCTAGAAAAGATACATGGGAAAAATAGCTTTTAAAATATTGAACCAAATATCCGCATAGTGTATGACATGTACACTTGGTTTTACCTCTGTGTCCTCTATAAACAGTTTTTCAGACTAACTTTATACAAGGAACTTATTAAAAGATTCTAAGTTAATCTACTCACAGAAAAGATCATCACTTGTCTCTGACTCTATATAAGTCCTTCCCTTCCTTCATCTATGTGAATCCAACTTCTCTGACCTGTTCTATTACAGTAATTATCAACATAGTTCTATGGTTTCAAAAACGTTCCATTCCTGATCCAGTTCTTGTTGTTGCTAAGGACTTTTAAAGTACTGTACGGCTATTTATCTGAGCAATATATGTACAAAGCCAAACAAACAGACCATTTTTTGTCTATACACATCTTAAATCTATATGCCAAGCCTGGTTAAAGGCAGTTTTTATCTTCCTCTATAAATAGCTGTTCCTCTTATGAAGAGATGGTATTAATGGCTTCACTCAGATATTTTGAACCACCAGTCATCCCATAAAAAGTACCTGTTTTCCTCTGCAACAGGTTTTGTTTATCTGCAGTTCAATTTCAGTAGAGATGAAAAGAGAGGTTAGGGATACAAAGCCAAATCTACAGCTTACCTACAAATTAACTAGTCAGATTTCAGATTAAACTTATGCTTCCTCTATGCTGCCTTGTTTTAACTCATAGGAACTGAAGACCAGACAGTAGATGAATTGCAATTTTTCCTCACTAGAAATAACGACTTGTCAAGGACACTAGTCTGCAAAGGAAATAAACTCTGCGACACTCCTACAGGTTTTCCTGGCAGCAATCAATCAAGCTCTTCTAGCTATTGAGCGCCCCCCTCTGGAATATAAGAGAATTGTCTGAATTTTCTGCCATCTCACCTCCTTTCCCAACTCACCTCTTTCCCAACTCACCTCTTTTCTCAACTTAGGAATTGGAAAACCCTTGTAACACATCTCACTTCATGTTAACGGCGCCACTTGCATGTTTCATACATAATCTCTTAAATTTCATCTCATGGTTTCCCACATTTTCTCAATTCTTGTTCTTAATTTAAAAAAAAGCTCTCCCCCTTCCTTCTTTACTCCTGCTTCTTTTCTGTGAGAGTGAAATAATGTTTTACACTGCCTGGAACTTGCCCAGACGTAAGCCTGGTCTCAAACACAAGCAATCCTCCTGCCTTACCCACCCAAGTGCAGGGATTATAAGGGTAAATGCCACCCCTGACTCCTTGCTCAGTTTTTTTGTCACTACCCTGATAAACATTCAGAAGTTTGTTGAATATCTACCATAATTTCAGACTATGTTCTTGGGCCTTAGAAGACATGTAGGGGTGTGTGTTCAGAGCTGGAATTCAGTTAGAAGTCAAAGTTCTCTTTCATCTGGCCCTAGCTGCTCTTATTCTTTAGTGTCTATTCTCCTCCACGGCTCTAACCTTGGGAGGCTCTATAGAAGCATGAGGGCTCAGCAAATGATAATGTAAAATCCTATAATTCTAGATGGACAAGTTGAATTGGACAAAGAATAACGTTTTTTGAGTTATACAATGTGACTCATGAGCATCTAACTCTAAGATCAATACTCTCTGCTGTGTTTTCTTTGTGCCCATATGCTTGACCAAACCCTAGGCAAGTCAAGTATTGTGCCTAGTATAGCTTTGAATTTTCAAATGAAACTGAAAACAACAGGTTTCAACTGTCAAAATTCTCTAAATTCTTCCTTTTATTTTGTAAAGAAGTGTCCTTGAGAATTACAGCTTTTCAAACTAGGAATAGTTTCCTCAGTTCTTGACTTTCAATAGATAGAATAATTGATTTTAAATTCATTTTTTTGCTGTTTTGTGTTGCTGTATCTTGGCTCCAAATATGCAAACTACTCTCTTCCTACTGCATCTTTTTTTGGACAGGCACTGAGTTATCCCGGAACTCGTAACGTCCCCACCCCACCCCCACCCCCAGCCTTGGCTTCTGAAGTGTTTGGATTAAGAAGTGCCACCATTACTGGCTCAAAACTCTGTAACAGTAACAAATTGGGCAAGAATTTCTGAGCTCCTTCTGACAATATCCAGCACATAGATTATTGTAGGATTTCTTAAGTAAATAAGTATACAAGTGTCTACCAACACCTAGCACAGAAAATATAATCTTAGATTTTCCCTATTCCCTAGTCATGCTCCTCTCTGTATCCCTACCATTTAGCAGAGTGGAATGCAGGTATATACAGGACTACATCTTCAAATTTTAAAGGCCATATCTACATTTTAAAGTTCTGATAGCAAATTTAAAAAGCCAGCAAAGTCTTTCTTGCCGTACTACATGTTTTTTTAGCCAAACAGCATACAGAAGCTATCTGACAACTGAGAATGCCTCAGCTGGTCCACGAATGGTGGTGCAGGCCTTTAGTCCCAGCACTCAGGAGGAAGAGGGAGGTAGATCTCTTTGAGTTTGAGGCTAGCCTGGTCTACACAGAAAATTATAGGCCAGTCAGGGTGACATAATGAGACCAGGTACACTGTGACCACTGATCACTGACACAGGCTTAATAAGAACGTAGTTCCTTAGGAGGATAGAGCATTTGGACAATGGAAAGAATCACGTATCCACCTACATAACATTACAATAGGTAAAGGGACAACTTCACATAATTTCCATTGCATTACACAGATAATGAACTTGGAGGCGCGAACTCACAGAGTTTAGAAGCACTGAATCAATTGAACTTTTGTCCTCTGAGCCCAATTACAATATACTTTATCACTTTATAGTACCCCAAATCTGGTGAGTACCTTCTTTCTAAAAAGAAAAAAGTCTTATAAAAGGACAATTTTAAGATAGCACCCTAATTGCTGAGAAAAATCTTAAGTAGATTTCATTCCTTTCTATCTTCTGACAAATAGTGACGCTGACAATATACATCATGGGTGAATGCTGGTGTGAAAAATGAGATTGCTAACATATGGTAGCTCCCTACATTTCAAGTAATGAAGGATTATGAAAAAAAAAATGAAGCGACGACATGACTCTGGGAGACTCACTGACCCTTTCTATAACTGGACGTTCTTTCCTCTATGCAAAATACAGATATTTGAGTTTAATCCTGTCCCTCACAATAAATCGTAGTAACACATGGAATTTGCATGCTGGAATGATAAAATCTCTAAGTAAATTTTAAGGATTAGTCCTTTAATCTGTGTACTTCCGTCAGAAAAATCACAAAAGGTACAAAAAGTATAGTCACCTTGTAAAGATGCAAAGCAGTTACTAGCATGACATTATCAGTTCATCTTAACAGTCCCAGAGGTTGAAGTCTGCAGTGTCACTTGTACACTCCCCAGACATAAAGGTGGAGAGTAGCATAGCCTCGAGGGTTTTCGTCCATTTTGTCCTCTCCTCTCATGGTGGCTCTAAGCCCCATTTTCTTTTATACAAGAATAAAACACGTACTACTATTGATGCCCTATACACACAAGGAAACACAGGATCAGAGAGATTGAGCAATACTAATGCCATATAAGATGGAGATGTTCTGGCTGGGATCTGAGTCCAGGTTTGATGTTCAGTACAGACACTCTTTTACTACCCAAACATATTTGAATACTTTCTTCTAAACACGATCTAGTTAACACACTCGTGAACTAATAGCAGCTGTGGTTACCTGCACAAGACATGCTAGAAAGTCCAGTGTGAATGGAGAAGCCCAGAAGGCTCTGCCTATCAGAAGCTACAGTGGCTGAATCTGAGCATTCTTTGCGGGTGTGGCCATCAGTAGGCTGCACATGTTCCCTCCACTAGATGGCTCCACATCCATGCACAATTGGGTAGTAGCGTTCGTTAGACTTAGTTATTTTTTTAAAAAAGGAAGAGAAGGAAAAAATGAAGTTGAGTGGGGAACAGATGGAGGAAAATTGGAAGTAGGGAAATGAGAGGTGGATACAATCATATTCCATTATATACATGTATAAAATTCTCAAAAATAAAATTTTTTTAGATAAAAAAAATACAACCCTGCACTCTGGAATAGTTTGGTAAAGTTGAAAACAGTAACAGAGGCACTTTCATACCTTTACAATAAGCTCAGTTATTGATACAGGGAGTAAAGGTACCCACTAATTGTAGTATTAATCATCAGACAAAATGTGCAGCAAATACAACCGGCACAGCAGTTAAGGTCCAGTTGAGAAAAAGAATGAAAGGCCACCACTGCAAAGACACACTGATCTGTAATATTGTACAAAATCTTACCTTATCCTTTCATCTAGTTGTTGGAGAAAATGGAATCTAGACTTTAAATGAAATCCAACTTTAAATGTTGGCAACTGGCCAATTTTTAGGAGCATGAGATTAGGTAAAGTGGCTTGATGCCCCCTCACCCCCAAATTTGTATGTGGAAGCTGTCACTACTGAGTGACTGTTTATAGAGATATGGCCTTCCTAGAAATAATTCAAAGTAAATGAGGTCATCTAGGTAGCGCGCTAATCACAGAAGAGCAGTCCCCTAAGGAGAAACACAGGAGGCTTCTCCATCTCTTCACTTACACAAAGTAGACAGTCAAGAATGCAGCAATGTGAGTTAGGAACACAGCAATTGCAGTACATCTGGCTATGCTGAGACCCTGATCCCCAAATTCTAGCCCCTGCAACTAAAAAAACAGAACTTCTGATGTTTAAAGCACCCAGTTAGTGGGATTTTGCTATAACAGCCCTGTATATACAACTTAAAGAGTTTTCATTCCTATTAGAAACACTACAGACATTTCAAAATATCCTAAATGTTGATCAATGGAAAACTGGCTCAATAAAGCAAGCCTTAACCATCTAGTAAAACTATACAGTCAAAAAGAACAATGAGGCATTTTTAAAAACCTATAGAGAAGTATCTCCAAAGTGTATTTTTCCGTAGGAAGAGTAAACGGCAGAACAATAACGCAGAATGTGTTATTATTTGTGTGTAAAAGGGAAGGGAGAGATTTAAT